AGAGAGAGAGAGAGAGAGAGAGAGAGAGAGAGAGAGAGAGAGAGATCTATATATATAAAGATTATGTGAAACCACTAGCATGTTTCCTAAAGCAAGATCACCATGAAGAATCCTAGAATTTGCAATGGTGCCAGCTCACAGCATTGCATTGTACTTAAGCTTTTTTGCAGTCAGAATTGAGCGTTTTTGGCCTGTTAGTCCCTATTCACACCTAGCCGTTTTGACGCTCAAAGCTAAGCACGAGAAAACTCTAAACACAAGAAATCCCATTAATTTCAATGGCCCCTGTTCACACCTGAGAGTTTTGTCGCAAACTATAAAATGCTAAACGCTGGCAGATTATAGCACGTTTGGCCCCATAGACTTCAATGGAAATGCCTGGAAACATACGACATGAGCGGTTTGCACATTTCTGTGCGCGATTTTGCGTGCATTTTGTCTATTCACCGCAATTAATTTCATTTTGCTTGCTAAAACGCGTGTCTTCATGTGCACGCATCTATGGAATGCAAAAGTATGAATAACATGCAAAAACGTGATAAACAAGCTAGACGAGAGGCTAGACAAAACCTGCGCTAATATGCGAGAAAACGCTGATGCCTAGGTGTGAACAGAGCCATTGACTTCAGTGGTAGCGCCTCGGACAAACACCTGTAAAACGCATGTAACGTGTGTATGTAAACGCCAAGTAAACAACTTTCCATTGGCTAATAAAAATGCTCAAGCCTGAAAATGTCCGAAAAACATGCACACACAAAAAAACGGACAAAAAATACTTCAGGATCGCCTGAAAACGCTCCCGCCCAAGTGTGGATGTTAGCTCACAGATAGCTTATTGTTCAAACAGGTGAGAGTGACAGGAATAACAGCTGACAAGTTAATGACAGAGGAGCGTAGCACACATGGATGGGAAATGAGGAGTTAATGTACAGAACAGTCAGCAAACGGATAATGAGAAGGGAGAGCGTCTGGAAAGGGTGGAGATTTCCTTGTTTGTCAAGCACACACACTCACACTTTACGCTGCACTGTGACACAGTTCTTTACTTATTGCACCCTCTCACACACCCATACTGTACGTGCGCCAATCTTCTTCACCCTCACTAGAAGGGAGCCGAGCCTTCTAGCTCGCACCTTTGCTCGCTCTTATCGCATACTTGCACTGCTTCCATACTTCGCCACAGGTTGGACAATCCCATTCGTTGATGTGGACATGCACACCACACCAATTGGTTCAGGTGAGAGATATATACATTTCCAGTCTATTTTATGGGCATTAAATAATTAATATGTCACTGCTTTCTTATTTGTGGGGGTGCTTTCTTATGTAAAGTGACAGCTTTCTATAAAAAGAAAAATATAAAGAAGAAAAACGCTCTCTCTCTCTCTCTATATGATTTATATTATATTTTAAAATAATTTTTATATGTATATATATAATTAATTTCTTATGTAAACTGACAACTTCCTATGCAACAGATATATACATATATGCACACACACATTATACCATATAAAAATAAGAATGACTTTATAAAGAATGATAGATATGGAACATTCCCTTGCTTCAGTTTATCCACTGTGTGTTCTGTCACATGTATTGTGTATATTCTGAATTTTTTATACTCGCCAGATTCAAGTCGGTCTGTTTTTATTTTCTTATCTATGGATGTGTCTGCCTTCTGAAAAGTCTCCATATTTTCTTTTCTTTTTTCTTAAACTCCACAAATCTTTTTGTCCCTCTTCATTTCTTTCTCTCTAATCTTAGTTCCTCACTTATAATTAGCTGGTTTGGGTCTTGGTTTGGCTTTTTTTCTTCTGAGTTATTACCTTCTGTGCAGACTGAGGCTATTTCAGGCTGTTCTCAGATGTCTGTATTTTTAGACTATCGGGTTGTTGGTTGGAGAAGGATGCAGACAGTATGTACATATGTATAGTTCCAGATCTCTTCATGAGATTAGAACACATTAGAAAATACAGATTGTTGGATCTGCATGTATTGTTTTCAATAGCCTATTATTCTTAAAGTTTATGTCTACGGAAAAATATTCAGTACATCTCTGCAATACACGTTTTCCGAAGTTCCGTCTCTTTAAAGCTAAACTCCGGGCACAAACATTTTCATTTAAATATGATCTTCAACAGCCCCAAACGATATAAATGCACTTTTGTGGGCACCAAATGCCTTTTCAAACCCAGGCATTACCTTGTAAAGTTAGCAGTGACCACAAAGTCTGTGCAGAGAGCCGAGCTGGGTAGGGATCTAGCAGGACCACCACTACAGGCTGCCTGCAGAAAACTAAAGGTTTGAGATAAGACCAGTCACCCTGCACAAGGAGATAGAGCAGCAGTGACTGGTCTTTATTACAGGAAACTCCTGCACAGAGGAAACATTTCCCAATAGATTACTACACAGAGCTGGAAGAAATACACAAAGCACACTGAAATTCCAGTAAGAATACACACTCCTTTTATGTAGAAAATATTTGTTTATCCCGGAGTTCAGCTTTAAAAATGCCACAACTATAGAAAACTACCTGTTGATCTGTCAGAAATCCATTGAGCTCCAAACTTTATGTAGCGTGCTGCCTCCGCTGCACTGAAATCCTTACCAGTGTTGTCAACCCTGCCCAAGTTCTCTCCAGCTGGACGACAGAACACCTCCCCTTCTCCTCATCTCCATGAAGAAGTGGGAAGTGTTTTCCAGCGGAGGAGAACTCAGGCATGGCTTATAACACTTCTTGAAATATCAGTACGCAAAGATAGCATTATAGACACACAGCAGGAAATTGGGAGCCCACTGGATTTCTGCAGCATTTTTAAAGAGACTGAATATGGAAACAAAATGCATGTATTGCAGAGATGAGTACTGAGTATTTTTAATTTTGTGCAGACATGCTATTTAATATTTGAACATTCTCCCCATTCTTATTTGTAGTTCTTTAAGGGCTCATTCACACTATCCTGTCGCAGTAGTCTGTGTGTTACCGTGACATGCTGTAATGCAAGTTACATGTGTTGGTGCAATGTATTGCAGGGCAATTCATTCTGAATGACACCCCAAAATACTCTGCTGACGGATGTGCATTGCAGCGCTGTGCGGTAATTCACACCAGAGCTATTTGAAGTGTGTTCAATGCTGGACATTCAGAAGTCCATGTTATTTTAATGTGCCTGTTCACATCTGAGCGATTTGCTGTTGCTCAACAATCAAAAGTATAAGAACTTTTTTGATGCATAATCGCACGTCTCGTGGCCCCAATAGACTTCAGTGGGAGCACATGAAAAATGCCTGATAAACGTGCAATTTCACACCCAACAACCATCTCCTCCTCCTAGTAATTTCATTGGCTAAAACAAAAATGTTCAAACACAAAAACACATGTGTACAAATAGAGGGGCCTTGAGGGGTGGGCTTCCGATGACCGCAATGCTGAACGGGCAGTGTGCGCGTGCGCACACCGGCCCGTTTTGCATTTGTCTCCCGAGCGTCATTCAAACCAGCCGAAAATCGTAAGATTTTCGGCTGGTTTTCTAGCATGCTCCTTAGACAAAAGACGTGCGACCGTACAGTAGAAACGGTCACACGTCTTCATTCACACTGCACGATTCTCGCACAATCGCAGGATTTCCCGCGATTCTCGTACGAGAATCGTGCAGTGTATGGGCACCTTTACTTTTGTTTTCTGGATACAGCTGTGGTGAAACTACAAATCCCTTGAAGCATTGCAAAACTGACAGCCATAAGCATGACTCCCAGAGACAGAGGCATGATGGGACCTTTCGTTTCACCACAGCTGGAGGGCCGGGTGTGCCCACCCATGCGTTAGAACCTCTGTCAGGATTTTTTATGCTTTCTGTGCCCCCAATGGAACTGATTGTGCAATAAAAGCATTTTTATTAATACATTGGAGAAGAACTAAAACTTCTGTAAGGTTTTAATTGATTTGTGTGCCCCTAATGAGGAAGTTGCATTACTTTCATTGTTTCAAAGAACATGAAGCAGGAGCGTCTGTGGGCTTGGCGTGATACTATCTGTAACATCCCACTGCTGGTCCAATAAGCTATGGCCACCCTTTGTTACATATAGCCGCGGGTTTGGGAATTCCCTGCCTGCAGCTGATTGGGCCAGGATGGACATTTGTCATGACAAAAACAGACATTTCCCAGCACACTCACTAGCCAGCCTGCAAAAAAAGTACACTGTCCAACTACTAAGGTCAAAAACAGAGGTTTTAGTTGCACAACTTTTGCAGAATACGTGGAAGCCACACTGCTTCGTCAACGCCCCTCTGTGTGGCCCTAACTCTAATCTATGAGAGCCTCTATCTTGGAGCAAACATATAGCAAAGGATGAATTGGGTGCAGGTTCGCCAGGAGAGACAATTCCCAGCACACTGGTGAGTGTGCTGGGAAATATCTGTTTTTGTAAAGCCCATCCATGTGCACCTTGCTTTAAAGCTAGTTATGAATTGATGAGTGCATTTGCCATTCGTTTCACTGTTGAACATGTGTCATTGAATTGGTTCGCACCCATCCCACACACATCCCTAACAGGAAGAAGGGGGGGTCAAAAAAAATCTAACTGTGGTTTAACTCTTCCTCGCTCAAAATTGTGTCTGTGATTTGAACGATCTAATTTTCTAATAAATCCTCACTCTGTTTTGCAGCTACCATGTTTCCCAATTTTAACCAGTGACGGACAAACAGCATCCTATATACTGGACTGCTGTGTATAAGTCATGAACCTTTGGCATTCACCGACAAGCTTATTGTCACAATGACGCCCATCAATCAACCTTTATCTCCTCTTATGAGCAGACCCAGGGTGACTGCATCTGATCGACTGGAGGCAGATAAAGCCAAGTATGTAAAATCTCCGCAAGTGATACATCGCAGGCAGAACCCGGCCATTGGCACTCTCCTGAGTCCGGTTTTAGCAAGGAAACAGAGCCCATCCCTTTATAGTGCCGGTTCACCAACTGAATTCAGCTCGGCATCAGAGTATGATTTCACAAGTCAGTTTGGCTCTACGAAACAAGGGCTAACATCACAGCAAAATGATTTTAATGATTGTCTTCATCAAGCAGCTGAAAAATCAGATCTGCAGTCACCAGTGCAAACATTTAGACCAACAACCATCTTCTCCCAGTCCAGCAACTTCCCTCCAAACATAAGAAAGCAAGACAATCACAGTGAAGCATGCAAAGATCACACACTTAGTCCCAGCAGGAAACAAGCCATATCTCACAGCTTCCTCACATCAAACCAAGGAAATGACCCACAGCCTCCCCCCAACTGCTCAATAGTCAGTCCCCTCTGTCGGAAGCGATTGAGTGGCAGAAGGCTGAATCGACCTGATTCTCTCATTATGTATAGGCAAAAGCGTGAGGAAGCTAGCAAGGAAAACGATAACGTGGAAGCTGGCCTTGTGATTCGATTTCTTCAAGGGACACCACTATTAAGAAGAAGTACAAGATTTTCACAGAATCAACCTCAAACATGCACAAAGGATGTACCAGTTTCCCCCAAGTTACAAAAAAGCAGAGAGCAACCACTGGTGTGTCATACTAACTGCACCAGCGCCCCTGAAGCCCAGGAAGTTACAGTCCATGACAAACTCACTTTTGCTGATGCACAAACATTTTTTGAGAGCTGTGGCCTTGAGGGCAGCTTGTTAAACTTGCTTGATATGTACCAAAATGGAGAGGAGTACACACCATTTGGTAGCATTGAATCCATGGATAAAGTGAGCTGTGAGTTTGTTGCTATTGAAGAAGAGAAAGCTGAAAAAAACCCAGTATCTATAATCGAGAGGAATGCCCGTGTTATAAAATGGATCTATAGTTGTCAGCGAGCACGGACCAATGGAAGCCATGAACACAAGCCGACACCAAAGGAATCTACAGTATGACATGTGTCAGTTATCTAAACAAATCACCGGGAAATTATGCATTGTCAGACAGAAAAAAATACTACATGAATTCTTTGACATACCTTCTTGTCAGATACTGGGAAAGCACTCTTAAATATAGACCTTGTGTCTGTTTTTTATATTCTCCAATATATTTCCTGAATATTTTGGGCATTGTTTAAAGTGGAACTATAGGCTAAATCAAAAAATGACACATGATGCAGTCTATCGACAGTAGATTTGTTTTTCTGTTTCCCCCCGCCCCCGTCACATAGTTGTATTACCTGGTGATCCGGCCAGTAAGTTGGTTAATTTTCAACTTCCTCTAACAGACCAAGCTGTCCAGAAAAAGTGTCAGATAGAGGGTTGAGACAAACCATTTAACACTGACAGGGGTGCTTACAATGGTCAGCTTTTATGCATCAATGTAAAATCGTTATCCCAAAAGGACAAATTAAACTGTTACTGTAACTGCTGAAAAGACTTTAATTTATTAGTCATTTATATAAAGTTCATCTAAATCTACTAGTCCATCTCACACCATTTCCACAGGTTGTCCAAGGGTAGCTACATTGCTCCTCCGTAGATACAATGGAAGAGTGAGTGCAGCCACCCTAAGAACGGAAATGTGTTACTGACCGGATCATCAGAAGTAAATTATGGAAAAAGAAAACCAATACAGCTACCGCATCTAAGGATTGTTAAACTGCAATGTATAACATTTTTGTTTTTGATTTTAGATACACTTTAACCATTTTATGGTTAGTAATTTCATTAGTTTATGTCCCAGCTTATTTTTGCATCATAGTTTCCCTACATTAAAGCTGGCCATATACCTATAGATTATCTGTAGATTTTCTGTGGTCAGATGGAAAAAGGGCAACAGATTGCTCCATCTACGCTAAACTGTGTGGATGGAGGAATCTCCCGCTGGGCCAAGCTTCAGTATCTTGCTAGTCGGCCCCACTGGCTGTCAAAATACCTGAACAATCTCATTGGATACAGGCATTGCTCAGGTGTTTTGAAGCCAGTAGGGCCGACCAGCAAGATAATGAGGCATGGCCCAGTGGGAGATTCCTCCATCCACACAGTTTAGTGTAGATGGAGGAATCTGTTGCACTTTTTCCATCTGACCATAGAAAATCTGCAGAAAGTATATAGGTGTATGGCCAGCTTTAGTCTTCCAGGTTCCATTAGTCTCTCAGCATTTGCTAAGGAACCACATAAGCATTTAAGGTCGCTTTTGGTTTCTCAGTATCTGTATACCTTATGCTATGCATTACATGCTGCTAATATGATGGAACAAGCAAGAGGTGATTTCATGTATGTGATTCAATTAAAATGTTTGTTGTTGTTAACAAATGTTTTTGAATGCTACATATGAATGAGCCCCCCACACAGGAAAAAGATAAAGGACTTCGGCATGAATGCAAGTTGCCCATGTTTACGAGATTTTATTGCCAGTGATTGTATTCAATGCCCCAGCCAAGCTTGTGGATCATATACAAAGGTATGATGACTGCAACCATATCTTCCATCCTATTTATCCAATATATTCTTGCGTATCTTCAGGCCTCGGAAGTCATCAGCGAATCATACACAATATAGTTAACAGCAGCCACCTAATCTGTCTTGTAATGGTTTTCATGTATATATTATTTATTTAACAACAATGCAAACATTTACATTCCATTTAATTAAAAATTAAATCAACATCAACAACCTCAGTCAACAAAACTGTGTGTTTTATGTCACTTGCACATAAACTATGAGATGGTTTTAAATCAGATACTGTTGATGATAGAGAATTACAAGCTTATAACAATCAAACACACAATCTAGAATAGTTTTAGTAATGGGAACATGATATAAAAGTCAATAGAAATATAAGATGCCCATCATCTAATAGCTGCTGTTTTGGCAGGTTTGTATAATAACCGGCAACCAACAGCTGGTGTTGGGAACAGTAAATAAACATCTTTGTAGGCCAATAGTTTATTCAACCAGTTTGACATTTTACAGTCAAACACCCATTATTCCTATTTTCGTTTAGGCCATACTGGTCAAAGGGCATTGAACATATGTAGGATAGGACAGATTTATGTTAGTCTGGTCAAGTCAAACAAATGCTCACTGTTTGAATCATTACCTAACATTTAGCCTAAGGTGTATGGATATGTTAAGACTGAAGAAAAGGTCGGGGTAAGGTAAGGATGATATTGTGCTGTACAGGGTCCTATTTTATAAAAGATTTGAAATGATTTGTTTTGTACAGAAATGAAGAAATGAAATTTCCTTTTGTCTAGTTATGTTTCTGTATTCCTGTCCATTGCAGACATCAGAACTGAAACCAATTTACACTACAACACAGCTGTCTGACTTTAATGGTGCTGCCTGAGGTGATTGGGGGTGCTGTCATTTGCATATCTTCCTGTTATATTTACTTTTATATCCAGACATTTTTCTTTGGGATCAATTTTGGTTTTACATTTCATATAGGTGCAGCTCTACAGCAGTATGTCGGTTTATGGCATGACATATACACCAGTAAACTATAGAAAAAAAACTAGGAGAAACAATAATTAAAACTCAGGAAATGAAAGCTAGAGGTATGCCAGAATGTTTACCCGCCTGATATTTATGTCACAAACATACTACTGGTACTTTCCAGTTGTGCTTGTGTCCAGCAATTTTAGTAAGGCACAAGGTTGCTTGGTCACACAGTTCTTTGGGGGGTCTGCCTTCAGTCGGCCGGGTGTAGTCTTTAGTCATTCTTGCTTCTCAGCTCTGCTAATTTGTTGGTGAGAAAACTCCATTTGAAGGGTGTCTCCTCTGCATGATGGGCTTCATTTTGCTCTGCTGGAGAATCTGCCAGTACCCCTGTTGGCTCAGGGCGCTCAGCAGATCTTTGCTGCCACCGGCTAGTAAATGTATCCCAAAGAGCTGCTGATCTCTTCTCCGAAGGGTGGTCTAGAGAATGTGATGGAGGAGCTCTACAGAAAAAAACCAAAAACATATGACATATCAAAATGGTGGTACATGAAGGGAATGTCTCCTGTAAGCAATGTTCACCACCGCCGAGGTGATAATGCTGCTTAAATTATGACTATCGATTATAAATAAAACAATCCCCTTTTGGTTAACTATTATGCTATAAGGATTCTAGAGAACCTTTTTGCAGATTGATGCCTGCGTTTTGAAGAAATAGCTCTTTGTTATATTGTACTATGTCCTTTCTCAAACTGATTTCTGATTGGGAGGTTCAAGTTTATTTTATCCAGTGGTGTAATCTCAGCAATGTATTTACTAAAACTGTAAAGTCTGCATCGTTATAGAAGTGAATGAGCCTTAAAGGAGAACTATGGGTCAGGGCTTTTCCCCATAGTTCTCCTAAGGGTCACGGGAGGACACAAACTAGCGTTCTCCCGTGACCCAAAGCTCAGTATACCGCGAGCTTCAGTTTGTGGTTTACTGAGACGCCACACCCGGAACGGATCCCGACATTGCTGTCGAACTCCACCCAGCTGCGGGATTGACAGCTGGCTCGGCCTATCTAGAGGCAGAGCCAGCTGTACCCGCCCCCTCCCCTGTCCGTTCCACCAGTCAGCACAGGAGGATCGGAGCGGGGAGGGGGGAATCCCTGCAGGGAGCCGAGAGTGACAGTCACGGCTCTCTGCAGGGATAGATTTAGAAGTGAGCGAGCAACGGTATGTGTCCCCTCACTTCCCGATCTACTGAGCCGACCTGTGACAGCTTCATTGTCACAGGTCGGCTCAGATTATAAGGCTGAGTGAAGCTCACTTGCCTCATAATTCTCCTTTTAAAGGGCATTTAAGTTCTAAAAATAAAACTCCAATTTCAGGGGATGCCTGAAATGTAACTTTTTATGTCAGAATAGACTTCTAAGAAAAGAACTTACCCAATCAAAAAAGCAGAAAAGGCATGATTTCTGGTATGGTTTCAGTACAATAATGGTTTACAAGACACCTCCAGAATGCCATATTGAAAGAGAATGACAGTTTAGTGGCTTGTATGCAATAATAGGTTATATAGGTTTGTTTTTTCTTGGGGAATTGCAGTTATTCATTTTAATATGTGGGACTGTAAGGGTAAGAACAAGTTGTTACATGGAATGGAAGTAATGGGAAACCTTCCAACACGGACACAAACAGCAACAAAAGCTTGTATTTTTGAAGAGTGAGAAAAGGTTAGAATCTGTCAGATGTTTATTGCTGTCTGTTTTCCCCATCCAAGCGACATCTGCTTTTCTTGTTACATGTTCTGCTGTAACAGGGATGGAAAGTGCTGGAAAACCACTTTGATGAGGATAGAGACAGAGATAAAAAAAACAAAAAACAAAACATAATGGAGATTCTTACCCTTCCCCACATATATAATTAGTTGCCTCAAAAAGGGGGAAGTCCATAATGTCCCAGTAGTGTCCCTTATGGTAAAATTCCACAAAATATGATATATCTATGCATAACCAGTACCATCAATAAAAACATTTTATATAAAGATGCCAAAGTTGTCCGGATGCACAATGTATCATACGTATGTAACATATGAAAACAATAATACAATCTTCTGCTTAAAAATTCACACCTCTGTCATCCAGACATTCTTTGTGTTGCTAACCATATGCTACATGTATATTAAAAATCAATCTTTTATTATACTAAACTAGCCGTCTCAGTACACATAAAACAACAAAGTCTCACATACAAACTTATTTAAAACCCAAAAATAATAGCAGGGCCCTGCATATATGTACACCATATTAAATAATGCTGCTATAATACAGATAATGATGATTGTGTCATTCCCTATAGACTAGCACAACATTATGCCCATACATAAAGTAGCTCAGAAATCCTAACCCTTAATCAGAATATTGAATAAAAGTAAAAGAAAAGATTTGAATGGCTTCACTTACTATCCTAAACTGAGGAATAATTCTCTTGTTTTTGGGAATACTGTATGCAATGGAATAAGGCAGAAGA